ATGTCTGGGAAAGTTCTTGGAGGAAGTGACGGGCTGATCGATTCCAGGCCCATAGCCTTGCATCTGAAGTGTTTTAGGTCTTTGTCCCACTGATCCTCTCAGACACTGCAAGCCCGTTTTCTCTATCTATCCATGCTCTAGTATCTAACTTTGCTCAAGTTTGCCAGGTACATGGGAGCAAAGACAGCATTTGTCTTCTTCACCAAGGTAGCTCCAAGGACACTGAGCTGTGCTCAATGCTTCAATGAATAAATGTGCTCTTTGCAGGTTACAAGCCAGTCAGCCTTGGAGACTCAAGCCAGGCTTGGCCTTTGTCCAGCCATCTCAAAAGCAGGTGGTGACTGCCACCTACAGGATGGTCCTACATCCTTCCTGAGCTCTACTAGGCTCTGGAAGCCTGGTCAGCAGCCCCAGTTGATGAGTCAAAAGGTCTGGAATTGCTGGTATTACCTGCCACATAGTATACCTACTTCTGCCTCAGTTTCCCTTTGTGACTAGATACCCTCTGTTAACACCAGCCAGTCGTTTAACCAGCAGTTCCTGAGCCCTCCTTCTGGGAGCTGGATCATGTTCCATTTATCCTCAGCTATGGTCTTGTCCTTTTGTGAAAGGGCTGATGGCAGAGAACTATGGAACTGATCCAAGCCACCAGTTCCCTGAACCCCGGTGGCCTCCTCCACCAGCACCTGCTGCAAATGAGGCCAAATGAGCTGCCCCTTTATGCACAGTGCGCTGGCCTGCTCAGTCTCTGCTACTTTCCCAGCCTGCCTATCCTTTCCCAGGCTGCTTGTGAACCCCTGCCAGCATTCACTGCATGCGAGTTGTCTCTAGGGTAGACAGATCTTTTCAAATTTAGCCTTCCTCTCTAGTTCCTACTTTTAGGGTGTAATCTCAATCTCTCCCCTGAAGTCCCATGCCACCTGCAGTACTTCACCCGGAGACCTTTTCCCCTCACATCACAGCTGTTGTATACCTGTCTTCGCTTCTGTTAGGATGTAAACCAGGCACATATGTTTTTTCTTTGTATGTCACTAGACCCTGAATTACTGCTTGTTGAAGAGATGAAGAAGGCAGGAAAACACCAAGTACAAATTAAATGGAATGTAATAGTCTCCCTAACCCTCAGGCCCCATTCTATTCAGTCTGCACACCACTCCCTAAATTAATGGTTCTACAGCTAGCCATTCTCATGCCAAAAGAAACTAGCAGCTCCCTATTGCATTAAATTTATATTCTTCATCCAAACACCCCCATTGCCACATCTTGTCTCCTGATACTTCAAACCCTCACCCCTAACTATACTTCCATAAAGACTCATTTGTTCCTCTTTTCCAACTTAATATCTAAATTTCTTCATCCTGAAAGATTTTCTTTTATTTCTCCTATTCCCATCTTGTCACCTAGAATTTGGTTATTGGCCTGCCCAGCTGAAACTCCATGCTAAGACTTTTTAGGATGGAAAAGGCCATAATCTAAGTGTTAGGAGCAGATTGTGTCTGAAGAGATGAGTTTTCATAAATCCTTTAGGAGTCAATTGCATCCTTGTTTTGGGAAACTGTAGTTACACAAATAACAAAAATCTGCCCAAGATTCTCGGGGGTCAGAACTGTGAGGAAATCATGAAGCTGAAGGTAAATGTTTTCAGTCTGAGAAGCTGAGTTTTGCTGTTTGGTAATCGGGATGGTGTCTATAGTTGAGTAGGAGTGCTGGTAGAGAGGTGGAGAATGTTTTTGGAGTTGCAACAAATTTCAGGGATGTGTTCCTGCAGGCTGTGGGGTTTCTTTATTGAGAGTTGCTTGCTAATAATAACAGCAGTTGTTACACACTTACCATGTGCCCGCCCTGAGATAAACCCTTGCAAATATTCTCCTGTAATCCCACAATTTTAGGATTTTTCAGGTGAGGAAAAGAAGGCCCTGAGAAATTAAGGATCGTGTCTTGCAAATATGAGGTAGCCAAAATATGAACACCTTGAGTCCAACTCCACAGCCTGTTCCTAGCTTCAGAGCCTATATTTATGTCTTAAAAATCTCACCCCTTTAAATTTCTTTTTGGGATATGTTTTATAATTAGAATAGTAGTAGATGCTTCTTATTTGACAGTGCAAACTCAAAAACATTTTACTGGTAGAGATGCCCAATCACATTTTGCCACTTTTTCATCGTGCATTATTTGCTTGTTGTTTCATATTCATAGGTCATATTTCGCCCAAGGAATTCGGAGTCTCCTTGAATTGTGGCTTAACCTTCCACTCTTACCTCCCACAGAAGGCCCAACTGTATCCTCCCTAAATACTCATTGAATTGAATTGAACTGGTACTCCAATGATGTTCTCCTTCTGGAGCAGAGCAAAGCTAATGAAAATAATAACAATATAGTAGATTAAGTTTCTGGGGAAGGTGGAAGCTGCTTCCACTATTATAGTGTTCTATTATAATAGTATTCTATTTCCACTGTAAATAGAAATAGTAACATAAAAATAATTTTGCTGTACAAACATGAGAAGTGCTACTGCAGACCCCCAGAGGTGTATAATTGATTTGAAATTTAAAACACCAAAATGAAGCAAGCAGTGTTTAATTTAGGGCTTTGCTGTCCAAGGTAACTTAAAATTGCAGCTGTAGACAGCTGTGTGCACATGGTCATAGTCCATGCTTTGGGTCCCTCTGCCAGCACGAAGGAGGGAAGGCCTTTTTGTACTTGCAGGAATTCTTAGTCCAGGTTGTATAAGTTACTGTATGTACTGCCTGAGAAAATTCAGCTCTCAGGTTTCAGAAAGGGGAGGACAAAACCTACTAGATCTTTCTTCTCAGATGGCAATTAAATACACATTCTCATTCCTTTTACATGCTCACATTGCTGCCTCTGAAGCTAGACTCACTATAAGCCACTTATATAGAACACTCACTGAAGACTCACTGTAAGCTGCTTATTACTCATCATACAACATGCACAGTGCTTGTTCTTCTGTGACTTCCCCAATTTCTAAATTGTAAGGCATCACAAGTGCAACCTGATCGCTCACAGAGTTGATCACATAAACCTGGTTTTCCCACACTACCTGCTAACCCTGTATCTTGGTAATGTTTTTCATCATACAGACAAAAAGGGTTTGGTCTCAACTAGTGAAAGGGATAAAAGATCTAAAATTCTTTGTTGAGTCATAAAGTGTAATTAAGGACACACACAGCTTTCCTTTGCACGGGTTTCTTTCTCAGATCCCTCTTCACAGAACTGTTAAATGTGCTTGAATTGTCACTGAATCATGTCAGTAACCCATTTGAGAGTTGGCTCCAACACCCGCAGGCAGAATTCCTCTGCAGGCTAGTCCCATAAGTGCCTTGAGCATTTCTTCCTCTGTTCTCCAAGAACCAGTGGAAACTGAGATGCCACCAGAGCCTGGTACATTACGGAGGTCAATAAAGATTTATTTAAATATGATTTAAAGTCATACTCTATTTTAAAGGCTAATTTTGTATATATGAGAATTCGTGCTTTGTATGTGAAGATTTGTTTTATTTCATTTATCTTAAAGGGGGTAAAACAATGTTATACCTAAAATGTCTGTTTTCAAGGAACTTCATATTATGATGGAATGAAACACATAGGCCTGGCTGCACTCAGGGTACTGTTACTTTCCACTTGGACAGGCAATCCACTATGAATCCTCAGCATCCTTTCAAGTTCTTGCAAGTAATGCTAAGAATGCAAGACCCTGCTCACTTGGGTCATTTCTCAGGGTTGTGTTTGCAGTGAGCAACCTGGAAGGGTGAGGGGATGTCTCCCTATAGGACAAACAGCAGGCTTGCTTACTGACCTGCTGCAAGTAATGCTAAGAATGCAGGACCCTGCTCACTTGGGTCATTTCTCAGGGTTGTGTTTGCAGTGAGCAACCTGTAAGGGTTGAGGGGATGTCTCCCTATAGGACAAAGAGCAGGCTTGCTTACTGACTGCTATAAAACGGTGGGGACTGCAAGCTTATCATTCTTTTCTGTAATCCAACCCATTTTGTGTTCAAGCGTCCATCTGGACTCACCTGCTTCGTTCCTGAGAGAACTGGGGTTCAGGGAACCAACACAAACACGTTGATACTCTGGCTACTGCTTCTGCCCTAACAGCCTTTCATCTCTGATCCCGTGGTCTCGCTTGTTCTGTCAGCATCCATGAAACTGAGAAGCTGACGCGTTAGCTTGCATGCAATAGGATAAAATCTCAAAACCGTCAGTTCTTGACACTTACTAGCTGGGTATTACTACCCAACTCATTTAACCTCTTTTAGCTGCGGTGTCCCTTTTTTACGAAGAGGCCGATAGTACCTGCCTCACAGTAAGGTTGTGGGGTTACGTAAGAACGTGAAGCTCCCTACCACACTCTGCTCTTCTGATAGACTCCTTCCCTCTTGACAACACTGACAGACTGCTTTGTTGCGATGTTTGTTGATGCTAGGCAGGCAGGAACGGAGAGAATCACAGGGTGGGTTGTGCGGGTCTTAGCTTGGTGCAGCAGTGAGTTGGGGGGCGGGGAGAGGGGAGTGGCTGCGTAGCAACCATGCCGTTTTTTAGATTGTCTATTTCAAGGTGCTTCGGGGCCGTGCCGCTGGGAATTACCGCCCCCTCCTCCGCCCGAGCTATCGGATAAGCAGCGACGCGTCGGGCCGAGCAAGCAGCTCCTGCCCGCGCAGCTCCTGCCCGCCGGCTCGCTCCGCAGCCCTCGCTTCCGGGCCCCCGCGCCGCGCGCACCGCACACGCATGCTCCTGGCGCTCCCACGCGCGCGTTGGCCCTCCAGGCCCCTGCCAGCGCAGCCGCGTGCTCCGGCGCGCACGGAGGCGGCGTCCGGTACTAGGACGAGCTTTTGGCGGATGCTGCGGCGCGGGGCGCTTAGCCCCCCTCAGTCCACCAGAGCCCGGATATCTCAGATATTCGGCTCTGGGTCTGTGGGGAGCGAAATGCAACCCAAATCCCATGGTACCGAACCCGCGCAAATACGCACAAGCACGCACACAGACGTCGCCGCGGCCCGCCGGGCCAGAGCCCGAGGCCTGGGAGGGGCCGCTGCTCGAGACCGGTTGCTGAAGGTGCGACGTAAGCTCAACGGCCGGTGCGCGGTCTGCGGAGCCGCGGCCGGGTCGGGACCGGGCGTGGCCAGCCGCGGGAGAGACCCGGTAGGCGGGGTTCGCGGCAGGACGGGAACTGGAAGAGAGCGGCGTGATTTGCTCTGCGCGGCCGGCCGGGTGTGGCGGACTGGCGGAGCCTTTCGCTCGCGGGCTTTCAGACCTTGTCGGCGGGCGGTTGCCGGGCCTGTGTTTGGTGGCGGCTCTCCAGGGTGTCCATGGAGGTCCCAGCGACACAGACGGACGCCCAAACGGACGTTCAGGGGGTAGGGGCCAGGACGCGAGGCCATAGCCTCTGGCTTAACACGGCAAATGCGCAGAGACTCCAACAGGTGGCTCCGTGGCGCAATGGATAGCGCATTGGACTTCTAGAGGCTGAAGGCATTCAAAGGTTCCGGGTTCGAGTCCCGGCGGAGTCGAGTGGTTTTATTTTTTTCCCTGTAATTCATCTTCTAGCCCAGTCACCTCTCCAACTCCTCTCCTTTTCCTGGACTCTTTAACTCGCCTCCCGTCCCCTGCGCTGTTTCACTACCGCTTTCGGCCCCTATGGCCCTTTAACCTCAGGGTGCCCGCTCGGTTCGCCTCCCGCCCGCAGCTGCCCCTGCTCGGTGACTCAGGGCCTGGGTCAGGCCGTCTGCGGAGCCTGAACCAGGGACTGGGAAGAGCGGCGCCAGGCGGCGGCGAAGCGGGGCCTCGCGGTGTCGGCATAAAGGAGAGCGCGGGGCGGGCCCAGGTATCAAGTGCTCCGGCGGAGCTGCCCCCACGCTTCGCCCCACGAAGGGTGACACCGCTTCGTCTTCAGTGCGATCGCTGCTGCTAGGGAGGGGCCAGGGAAGGACGAGGAGACACGCCTCCATGCTGAGCTGCGCCGTCCCGGCTTCCTCTCCCTCGGGCCCACGACATGTCCCTCGGGCTTCAAAATGGTCACAGACTCGAATCTTAAGTGGGATCCTGTCAAAAGTGCAGATTGCTGCGGGTCACTTCGAGCCTTTAATTCGGTCGATCAGGGGCGGGGCCCAGGAGTTTGCATTTCTGATAAGACCTCCCGTTCCTGCGCTATGATTCAGAGATAACTCTTTGCGCAGAGATTACTTTGCGCAAGATTAGGGTTCCACTTCCCTAATGTTAATGAATCAATGGATGAATGGAATTTCAAGAGTTCTTTGTGCAAACAACCCAAATCGTCAAAAAGGTAGAGGGAAAAGTAAACACCCTTGTTCTTCCTATATTCCAGTTTTGCAATTCTCTATAAGCTAATAGTGAAAATGGTTCTTGAAAATGTTTTCAGATTTATGCACGTCAGCACTTTTATATCTATTGTGTATGTTGTTACTGACAGAGGTGATACACAATTGGTAGTGTGCTGTACTTGCCCTTACTCTAATACAGGTAGTTACCTTGTGCCGTGTACATGTGTATCATATTGATTTAACTGTCCCCAATAGTTGGGCATTTGGGTGTCCAGTATTTTCCTGTTAAACACAGTGCTTCAGTGAAATTTCTTGTTCTTACATTGTTGTACACAAGTGCAAGAATATCTGTAGGGTAGATTCCTTGGAAGTTCAGTTGCTAGGTCAAAGGTTTGTTTATGCATACTTTGATAGATGTTGCCAAATTGCTCTCAGAGAGATTGCACCCATTTTACTTTCACTGGCAAAGTGTAAGGGTGCTCATTTCCCCACAGCTGACTAGGGGTTCCTATCAAACATGGTTCCTCGTTGTACTTTCAATTCATGTCTTCTATTATTAGTAAAGCTGTGCATCTTTTCACACATAGAATAATGTTTACTTTTTTTGTGATTTATTTGTCCTACTAGAGTTTTGCTCATTTTCTACTGCATCATTGGTCATTTTCTTACTGGTTTGTAGGAATTCTTTACATATTAAGGAAACCAGCCCTTTATGATATTTGTTATAATTCTTACTGTTTTTATTTTGCTTATGGTATTTTATTTTTTGTCTTACAGAAATTCATGTATTTGAATTTATCGATCTTTTCTTTAATGGTTTCTAGGTGTGAGGCTCTGCTGCACTGAGATTATTACATCGTGTTCTATTTTTATACTTAAAATATTTCTTTTGTATAAGGAGTGAAGTGGGAGTTTTGTCCCAGAATCACTGATAACAAACACTCCTCCTCTTCTACACTAATTTGAAATTCAACTTTTATCATTTTCTAAATTCCCATTTGTATTTGGGTTTCTGGAGTCTCTATTCCATTATGTTTGTTCTGATTCATCAAAATTGTGCTGTCTTAATATTGTGCAGAAAATAAACAAAATAGAAAACCCCCTAGCCAGACTTACCAAGAAAAAGAGAGACTGTACACACGTAAACAGAATCTGAAATGAGAAAGGAAAAATCACAATGGACACCACAGAAATACAAAGAATTATTAGAGATTACTATGAAAAACTATATGCCAACAACAACCTAGAAGAAATGGACAACTTTCCAGAAAAATACAACCTTCCAAGACTGACCCAGGAAGAAACAGAAAATCTGAACAGACCAATTACCAGCAATGAAATAGAACTGATAATCCAAAAACTACCTAAGAACACAAATCTTGACCCAAATGGCTTCACGGCTGAATTCTATGAAACATTTAAAGAAGAGCTAATACCCATCCTTATTAGAGTATTCCATAAAGCCAAAGAGGAGGGAATACTTCCAAATTCATTCCATAAGGCCAGCATCACTCTAATACCAAAATCAAAGACACCACAAAAAAAGAAAATTACAGACCAATATCCCTGATGAACATAGATCCTCAACAAAATATTAGCAAACCAAATTCAAAAATACATAAAAAATATCATCCATCATGACAAGTGGGATTATTCCAGGGATACAAGGATGGTATAATATTTGAAAATCAATCAACATCAATCACATCAACAAAAAGAATAAAAACCACATGATCATCTCAATAGATGCTGAAAAAGCACTTGCCAAAATTCAACATCCATTTGTGATAAAACTCTCAACAAGTGGCTTTAGAGGGCAAGTACCTCAACATAATAAAGGCCATATATGAGAAACCCATAGCCAACATCATACTTAGTAGTGAAAAGCTTTCAGCTTTTCCTTTGAGATTGGGAACAAGACAAGGATGCCCAGTCTCCTCACTTTTATTCAGCATTGTACTGGAGGTCCTTGCCATGGCAATCAGATAACACAAAGAAATAAAAGGCATGCAGATTGGTAAAGAAGAAGTTAAACTGCCACTGTTTGCAGATGACATATCATACATAGAAAACCCAAAAGCCTCCACCAAAAAACTATTACAATAACTGAATTCAACAAAGTTGCAGGATATAAAATTAATACACAGAAATCTGTTGCATTCCTATATACTAACAACAAATTAGCAGAAAGAGAAATCAGGAAAAGAGCTCCATTTACAACTGCATCAAAAAGAATGAAATCCCTAGGAATAAACCTAAACAAGGAGGTGAAAGACCTATACCCTGAAAACTACAATATACTCATGAGAGAAATTAAAGAAGACACCAATAAATGGAAATCTATCCCATGCTCATGGATAAGAATATTGTCAAAATGACCATCCTGTCTAAAGCCATCTACAGATTCAATGCAATCCTTTTCAAAATACCAACAGTACTCTTCAACAAACTAGAGTGAATAGTTCTAAAATTCACATGGAACCACAAAAGACTGAATAGCCAAAGCAATCCTAAGAAAGACCAAAGCTGGGGGATTACACTCCCTAGCTTCAAGCTCTATTACAAAGCTACAGGAATCAAAACAATTTGGTACTGGCACAAGAACAGATCCATAGATCAGTGGAACAGAATAGACAGCCCAGATATAAACCCACACATAGACAGCCAATTAATATATGATAAAGGAGCTGTGGATATACAATGGGGAAAAGAGAGCCCTTTCACAACTGGTGTTGGCAAAACTGGGCAGCTACAAGTAAGAGAATCAAATTGGATTATTGTCTAACTCCATACACAAAAGTAAACTCGAAATAGATAAAAGACCTACATTCGTTAAGTCATGAAACCATAAACTCATAGAAAAAAAATCTCTTGAATATAAACATGAGCAACTTTTTCCTGAACACATCGCCTTGGGTAAGGGATATTAAATAAAAAATGAGCAAGTGACTACATCAAACTAAAAAGCTTCTGTACAGCAAAGAACATGATCAGCAGAACAAAAAGGCATCCTACAGTATGGGAGAATATATTCATGTGACTTACCAATAAGAGATTAACATCCAAAATATACTAAGAACTCACATGCCTCACCACCCAAAAAACAAATAACCCTATTAAGAAATGGGCAGAGGATATGAACACTTATCCAAATAAGAAATTTGGATGGCCAATAGGCATATGAAAAGTTGCTCCACATTGCTAATCCTCAGGGAAATGCAAATTAAAACTACAGTGAGGTATCACTTCACACCAGTTAGGATGGACAACATCCCTAAGACAAGAAACAACAAATGCTGGTGAGGGTGTGGAGAAAGGACGACCCTTCTACACTGTTGGTGGGAATGTAAATTGGTTCAACAGTTGTGGGAAGCAATATGGAGGTTCCTCAAAAATCTAAAAATAAAAATACCATTTGACCCAGTAAAACCACCCCTGGAGATGTTATTATTTTTCCTTTCTTTATGATGTTTTCTTGTAACTGCTATTTCTAAGAATGCATTCCATGAATTTATCCATTACTCAAAGTTTTATTGAACTTTACTATATAGACCCCTCTCCCCCTCTTCCCTTTAAAACCCTGCCATTTATCATCCAGACAAGTACGGCCTCTTGTCTGACACTTACAGTGACCTGTAAGACATTTTCCCAGGTCGTTAATAGGAATAATGGTGTTTCTCTAACGTAGTTGGTTTGTTTTTCATCTTTTGGTAGAATACTGAACACAACTGGTTTTTGAGGAATCTCAGAGCCTTTATCAACTGTTTCACAGGATCTTCTTTTTAATGTCACCCTGATCTATTTCTTCCATCCTTATTTTCCCTAATATCCTCACTCAAAAATCTGTGTTGTAAGCATTTTTTATAAGCTGCTTAAAAGCATTTTGGAACAAGATGAGGTATTTTAGAAATCTTTCAAAATCTTTAGGTATCCTAAAGGCCCTGCTTTCATCCACCCACTACCATATCGGCAAAATTTGTATGCTTTATATTTTTCACTTGACTCAAAGTACTTTCTGGTAGTTATTTAGCCCCAGTGAGCTGAGTTTACTGACACAAGCCAAAGCCTCAAAAACCTGTTTCCCAAAGAGCTGCTTTGCGTAAAAAACAAGACAAATACATCCATTATTCAAATGTCCAAATAGTTATAGAAGGCTGAGAGACTTCCTTCTGATCTTTCCCTTAACCAGTTTGATACTTTTCTTAGTTTTGAAGATTTGAAATAAATCTGTGATCACATCTGAGAAGCAGCAGCTGTACATGTTACCAGTTTTAATTCCTTATAAGAAATGTCAGGTGACTAAATGATTTTTAGTTGAGTAATTTCAGTTTATTTCACTGAATAACGTATTTTACATTTGCTAAAACTTTGTTCCAAGCTAAGTAGCTTACAAAATTACATATAATAAACTTAAAAATGAAATCAATGGAAACAAAAAAGAGCATGTTAAAATTTTAAAGTAAATAAAACACATACTGTGAGGACCTGTAATGTGGCTTAGCAACAGAGTAGGACTCAGCACTTAGGTTCCGTTCTTTCTCCAACATTGCCTTAGTCTAATGCTGCTTTTGTATAGGAATGACTAGAGGTCATTTTCCCAGCAAAGTGCACCATAATATTTGCCATAACTGCAGTTTTGAAGTATCAAATAATTCAACCTATTCTAGCATTCATTCACGAGTCAGAAACCAGCAAGAAAATTATACAAGAGGTAAGAAGTTGACCCACTCCATAGCCTAAGCCTGAGAAAAACTAGTTCTTAATTGTGCAGAGCTGTCCCACCACACAGAATGACTGACAACTTAAGTGTTCTCATAGCATAATAGATTAATAGTTGTTTTTGCTAATAATTTCTTTCTGGAAGAATGTGTAAAGGGTAAACTAACTGTTGTATCTTCTTGTTTTGGTATTTAGTCCTCTCATAGCAGGTCCTTGTTTAACAAATGATTAGAATACAGGTTTTTCTATAAAAGAGAACAGATGCTTCTCTTTTATACAGATGCTTCCTTAATTCCACCTACGAATTTGCCATCTGACAGTTATTAGGTTGCCTATGATCCCAGGCAATAAATGCAAAATATGAGACTTATTTACTGAAATCACAAGCAGTATGCATGGTGAACAGAGAGGTCCCACCTAATGACCTGAAGGAAAAAACCCACCCAGAACCAAGAATGTCCTATTAAGCTCTAGTAGAAATGACCCAGCATTCCTTGGCTGCCACAGGCAGCTTAGCCAGGATGCATACTTCTGCAACGGGAGATGAGACAAACTGGGCCATTCTGTCTCCTGGCCAAATTAGAATTATATTGAGTTAATCCTGTTTCACTTGGAAGACAACAATGAATCTGGATAAAATCAGTCCTCCTGTTTCAGTTGCTAAGGAAGGAAAACAGCTCTACTGCTACTTCTACCTCTAACCCAAATTTACTAGGTAGTCTTTATCTTTTAAGTCCTTTTAATAGCTTCATGATTTAGTTCTCTGATCATCATTGCTTTGGTTTCAATTATGGCTTTTATATTGGCAGCAAGCAGATCTCTGTATCTCAACCTCACCAGTATCTTGGACCTGAATTTGCAGCTGGCAAAAGGATGTTTCCTGTCCACCATCCTCCCCCTATACAGTAATTACAGGATCCTCTATCTATGTTTGATACTGTTTTAAATTTGTGAATGTTAGCAACCTTTATACTTTCTAAATGTCTTTTAGCTCATTTTTCTTTAAATAACCAAGCACTGAAAACTCTACAAAAAATGTTATCTTAAAATGGTTGAGGTTCTTTACTTCTTTTCCCCTTCAAAGGGTCCAAGGATGAATGGGTCTTTGTAGACATACCTAACTTTATTTCAAGGGAAAGAGCATGTAATTGATTTCTTTTCAAATGAACTTCTGAACAGAAACCCCTATATATAGATAGGGCCAGCCAATGTTAATGTATGTAATGGTGTTAGTCTTCAGAACATCTGGTGTTAGTCTTCAGAACATCTTGAGTAAATAAAGGGGAGATGTAAAATACTATGATTTGCTTGCTGATTCTTAATTTCTAAATTTCTTCTTCTTTCGAAACTTCTTTCCTGCTGCATTTGCTGCTTTTTCAGCCATGATCTCGGAGTACTTCCTTCGGTTATATCTAAAAAGAAAAACCAAACCTTCAAGTCACTAGACATTTGAAGAAGTTGATGTAACTCTTGGTTGGCGGGGAAGATGGTGGCTTCTAAATCTCAATTTTTTTTTAAAGCATTTTCACTATCTAGTCATCACATTTGTATTAAGCTCCACCATGTAATAAGGAGCCATACTAGGAACTGGGGTCAGAGTAGTGAAGCAGAGAGTGATAGTCCCTGCCCTCAGAGAGCTTGCAGTCTAGTGAGAAAAAACTATTACTTGTGAGTCTAGTAAGAAAAAAATTCAAGTGTAGAGGGAAGGCTTTTTAAAACTTTCAGTCATTAAATGACCATGTACAATATCTAGTGATACCAGTTAGTTATCAAATACTTGGAACATTTTTGTGGAATAAAAATGTAGAAATAAGGACTACATAAGACAAAAGTTTATACTTAACCCGAAAACACACAATGTATTTCTTAGAACCTTAAGAAATACATCATAGACCAAAGGTTTTCAAAGTGTGGTCCAGTACAATAGCAATATAAAGTTTCCTTCTCAAGAAGGCAGTATACAGATAATGGAAACATTATGCAAATGGTATTCAATGACTGAAGTATGGGAAACAAAAGAACTGGTAAGATGATCTCTAACCTGCAATTTTATGAGTTTCATTCTACTAAATTTCTAGTTTACTACCCTAACTTCTTATTCTAGGATTATTTTTAAGTGATAGCACTACTGACATTGCTATGACCTCTGAGACGGCCATCAAGATTACAACATGTAGGTCAATTTTTATATGAAACATAGTTAACAGTTAGGTAGGAAAAGACTCAGTTAGATGGCACCATACCTCTGGGGAGAATGACAGAAAGAGACAGGCTTGAGAGAGATTAGGAAGTAGGAGGGACTCTGAGTATCGGACTGAAGAAAGCAAGTGTTATCAAACACTTGCCCTAATGGATGCATGGTACTGCTGTTCAGTTGTGAGGTACAGAGCTCTGGGAGAGAACGAGGCTGTGCAGGAAAGGTGGGGTCAGGAGAAACCACAAGTTAGCTCTTAGAGGTGCTTTTAAGATATCCACTGCATGTTCCTGAGGCAGCAGTTGGACACATGAGTTTGGACTAAGGAGAGAGCTGGACTAGGCATACACATTTGGAAGCCAACAATATATAGATAGCCAAGGAGAGAATAATTATTTCTAAATTTTACCATGACCCAGATTCATTAAATAGCTTACATAAAACTTGAGTTAAATTTGTTTTCCATGCCTATAATCTACATTATTTCAAAACCCTTAGTAAGTACTTTCACTTTTGTTATTAAACTAATCTGGAAGTTCAACAAAAGTGTCTATACGAAGTATACTTTTAAGTCTGTAATACATATGCAGCTGCTTCAAGGACATTTAAACATACTCAGATTGCTCCCATCTTAAAAAATCCTCTAAACCATACTCACTAGCCCTGCCTCTCCATTCTTCCTCACAACCAAACTTTTTCAAAGATTTGTTTCCATTTCATCATTTTCAACTAACTCTCCAGTCCCCTCCACTGGTTTCTTCCTCATTATTCCTCTAAAACTCCTGGCCAAGGTTACTGTGACATCCATGTAACTATATCCAAAGGAAGTTTTAGTTATTATAGCACTTAATCTCTCAGCAGCATTTATTCCTGTTAACCACTCCTTCCAGTTTATACCTGCTTATAATGTTCCCTTTCCTTGACTTGTATGACACTGTACCTGCCTGGTGTTCTCAATGCCTACCTGGCTACTGATTCCATCTCCTTGGAGCTCATTCTCCTCTAGCCAAATACTTTCCAGCTTCCCTTTAAAGCAGAGGCTCTAAGCTGGGAATGTTTATGCTCTGCAGGGGACATCTGGAAAAGTCTGGAAACATTTCTGACTGTCACGAATTTGGGGGTGGGGGTGTGTGCGTGTGCTAATAACATAGTTGGCAGAGGCCAGGGTGCTAACATTGCATCCTACAAGGCACAGGACAGTCCCCACTAATAAAAAATTATCCCATTCAAAATGCAAATAGTGCTGCTGTTGAGGAACTCCATACTAAGACACTGAAAAATTACCTCAAATTTTCAAAGTTTATGCACATTCTAAAGGAAAGCATACATATTATAAAGCAAAACATGAACTCCTTTACCTTCTGAACTCAGAATCAGCAAGCAGTTCTTCTACAATAGTTCTCTTCCTTTGTTTCTTGGGAATTCGTGAATGGTAGAAGTCAGCTGGATTATCAACAATGGTTCCAATCTGTGAACAATTGATTGAAATATGAGTCATGCAGTAACTGAATGCCAAGCTGCTTTCATATTTCAGGGTAGCTCTAATAAAGTATATTTATAGAAAAGAATGGAAAACAGAAACTTACATTATACCAATGTTAAAGTTACTTTTGCCAATATTAAAGCAAAAATAAATCACCTATTCAATCTGCATTTCTTCATTAGAGTTTATAGTAAACCTAAAATTGCTTTTATATACTTTAATGCTAAACAGTATAAAAAATTCTTAAAGAATAGTGTAACTAGAGAAAAATGGGACTAGTAATAAACTCTTGTTTTAGTCTCCCAACTTAACACATAACTTCTACTATACATGTTTGGTCTTCTAGATTATTATAAATGCTGCCAATGTAGAACCTTCTAGTGACCACTCTGTTTGTTCATATATACAACCAAGTAAAATTTATAGTGTCCACTATGTACCAGACATTGTGCAGGTGTTTGGGAAACAAAGACAACATCTGGTCCTGCCAATGAGGAGCCCATAGTCTTAAGGCTGATACACATACAGATAACAGAATTAAAGCACAACATAGTATTATGCTGAATAAAAAACATTACAGATGCTCTGAAAACTAAGTGACCAATTCTACCTAAGGGAGGTAAAGAAGATTTTGCCAAGGATTACATTTTAACTTGGATTTGTACGGGTAAAATTTCACCAAGCAAGCATGGCAGAGCCAAGCACATGCCAAGTCATAATGCCAAGACCAGTCTGCACATATTCTAAGATTGGGTAGCTAATGTGTTGGCGCTTAAGAGGGCTATGTGACAAAAGAAGGGCTGGTGAACTGGTTTAGGTACAGATGTGAAGGGCCATACTGAGGGACATAGACTCATATCCTATACATCATAAAGAATCACTGAAGGTATCATTGAATGGTATCTGTGATATAATTGAATAGGGGGTGTATCACAAACAGATTGCCTTATTTTGTGTTAAAGATTGGATACCAGCTACAGTGTAGAGGATGGACTAGAAGGGAGAGCAGACCTGGGGGCAAAGGACTATTATAGTGATCCAGATGAGTGACAAGAAAGGTAGCCAAGGACAAATTGAACTTGAGAGCCACCACAGGATGAATCAACTGGACTTTTATCTGAAAACACTTTGAAAACTAACTTTTAACTAATTTTCAGAATTTGCCTGAGGATGCCCCTCTAACCTGAAAAGAAGAGTTATGTGCAAATATTTCCTCTTTCCTCCTACATCCTGCAAGGATCCTCTTAGGCTAGTATTATTCATGTATGGTATATTCATAGTATTATTCATGTACCCATACTCTAGGTTCCACAACTTTTACAGAGGTGACCTGGAAACTCCGCTACCATTTGCAACACCTTCTCTCTCTATGGAAAGCCATTACAAGCTGGTGACTGTCTGAATTGGCTTCTGGCTATTTATGGCCTAAGCAGATGTACACCACAAATATTCGTCATCTTTAGATGGTAAACAGAAATGTCACTATAGTGCTTTCCAAACAAAAATCCACAGACCATCACCCCACCATCATTCTGTTTGCTTCATACCTGAAAGTATTTGGGGAAGCCATCTCTATCATTTTTCTTGTAAAACCTTTTTGGGTCCATGCTTGCTCTCATCTTCAGTGCTTTGAGATCGTTTTTTAGTTCATCTGTCAACTCTGGAGCTTTCATACCAAACCAGCCATCACCTGCTGTTTTTTGTCTTTCTTTCTAAAATTCAGATTTCAAAAACAAACAAAATTCTAACTTTAATAGGCAGTTTATAAACAACACTTCATTTCTCCCAAAATAATACATACAGCAAATTTCATAAATTAAAGACAAGTAAGGTTACTTGACAGAATGTATGTCTGTAGATTCATCTTTCATACAGGGAATTAAATCACAAAAGTGATTCTCTGATAAATTAGGCACAGCATTATCGGTTTCATTAGTGAGGTCTCCTTAATATTTATTCTGTATTTTTGTAAGGATTGCCGATAGACTAACCCACAGCTTCAATTTTTATTGTCTAAAATAGCCTATACAAGGGATAATGTATAAGAACATTTTCCCTTGTGGAGCTTATCTGTACACATTAATACTTTTATTCAGTCACTCCAAAAGTACAGAAATTTGTATTATTTCTAAAGTTAAAAAAATCTTTTCTTTTGAAAACTTACAGCTAGTTATTTATTTTTGTTTCATTCATCCAATTATGTCTACCATGTACCAGAGTGCTCTGTATTAGTGACACTACTGGAAGACCAGTCTCAAATTTCCTTGCATCTGTTTATAGTAAACCCAAATTTTTCTTACGCTTGTTATTTTCCTTATGTTTATTAGTTAATATAGCACTCAATTCCCTCTATTTTACCAAAGAAAATAGTTTTTCTATCCTCTGATTTGGCAGACTAAACAGACTAAGGTTTTTAGCTGACTATATTAAGTTCCCTAACAACAGCCTGCAACAGAGCTCCTACCCCTTAGTAAACAGGACCTATAAGCCAAGAGGTGTGGACAGTAAGTTCTCATGCTGTCACTATTTTGAAAGACGGGAAAAAAAAAAGCTGTATCTATCTATGCGCACCACTTAGTGCACTTCCACTTACTGCAAATCCATATAAAATATCTACCAAACTGTATTTTATGTGCCTTTAGGTATGTGTAATAATTTCCTTTGGAAAAACATATTTTACAACTTCATTGTATAGTCTGAACATATGTAGTCAAACACATCCAAACATTCTAAATAAGAGTAACTGTACTTACTCTGCGTTTTTTCTGAAGTTGATACTTTGATTCACTATATGGTGGGACACAGAAGTTTTTTTCAAAATCAGGAGTAATGATAGCTTTCTGCAGAAACTATAAAAATTTAATTGGTTTTAAAATAATGTCAGAAAGTCATGATTTTGTCAACATTTTTTTTGCCTATGAGCATTAACATCTTCCACACTGAAGACTTCTCCAAACATATTAACCTCCTTTATGCAGATATACTACTGCAAATTTGTTCCTGTCCTTAAATTCATAAATTACATCACAGTAAAATTTTTTGAGAAAAACTAAGGATTATTTTAGACAATATATAAAACTGATATTCATCTCAAATTTCCTTTTCTAATCTGAATTTGCACACACCAGATTTATACAATGTGTCCACTTCTATTTACTGGTTTGCAAACAGCCACCTGTGTCAAACAACTAGAAAAATGCCAAGTGGTTCGTGAAATCCCTGAAAAAAATCTGACTAGTCTTCAGTAAGTCCTTTTGATGTTGGTAAAACAGCTTCCTGTGATCTCAGGAGACTAGACTATTAAGTACAGTGATTACAGATTTTGATTAAACAACATACTTTGTTTTACCAGTGGGATAGCCTATCTAAACAAATCTACTCTTTGCATATCTTGAAAAACATATCAAGTTACTCTTTCAATGTCAATTTTCATATACAGATGAATTTCATTCCTTGAATAGCTATTATGCACAAGTTCTCTTCTGACATTTAGTTTAACAGTCTCCACTGAAGTCTTCCATTAAACAATGTTAACATCATCTCTGCACTTGTGGTCATTTCTATAAATTTTGATAGTTACTGCTAAACTGCCTTGCAGTCAAGTAATATAAACTCCTACCAACAGCTTAACAGTGATCTTTACATTGCCACCAACACTAAGTATTAACACTAGGTATTTGTACGTTCGGTGCTGCCTTATGGCTGTTTTCACTGGCTGTCCATCATCTTTTTGTGTATTATTAGCTATGTTTAAGTCTTCTGTGGGAATGTGTGCACTTCATTGGGTTGTTTTTCATTTTTATATAGGGTTATGTTCTTATTAATGGTAAAAAATATTTTGTGTCTTGCTAATATTATCCTATGGTCTTTTATATGTCTTTGCTAAGATGTTTTTAATTGCCTAAATTTTAAAATTTTGTGTAGTCAAGTGTTAATTCTTCCCTAAACAAATTCTGCATTTTTTGTTACTTGCCTAGGATGATTACACACTGTCATAATACTGTTAGTGAAACCAAAAAGATCCTCGGGGTAATGAGTCACTTCCCCCAGCATAAGAAGTAAAGACAGCTCCTTTAAAGACGGCTCCTTATCCCTCAAAACAGTTCATAGGAATACAGCAAATATTTGGTGAATAACATTTCAAAGGACCAATTCAGAAATCAATTATCAATTCAGAAACCCTAAATCTAGGTTCAGGCCAAGAAGTTTCTGGGTAGAATAGTAGCAGACTAGACTATTCTTTCACTGAGAAAAGAGAACATGACATTATTTAACAGATTAATAAGGGTTTGTTGTGTGTGTCAAGTACTAGGCTACTGGACAGTGGTTCTAAATTGGGAGCAACTGGCAATGTCTGAGGACATTCTCTGGTATGTGTGTGGCAGGGAGGATGGTTACTATTGGCGTCTAGTGGACAGAGGCCAGGGAATATGCTGAACATCCTATGTTGCACAGGATAGCCTCCCACAACAAAGAATTATCCAGCCCTCAAACACCAGTATTGCTGAGGTTGAGAAATCCTGTTTTACAGAAATAAAACACAGTGAAACAGCAACTACACCACATAATCAATAATGAATCACATCTGTACTGTGCATTACAGATGCACAGAGGAGGTGGGGTAGGGACTAGGGTCAGAGAAGGTTTGCTTCCCAAAGGCAGTGAAGTGTGATCTCTGCATTGGCCTGGGGAAGGTTTTATATTCAGGGAACTACAGTAGTCTTCAATGGCAAGAAAAAAGCTGACAGAGTCAGAGCTGGAGGAAGGCCCCTTGAAGGCTGAGAAACCACTGGAGGATTTAAACAGGAGATCATAGTGAGATATGTGTATTCAGAAAGAGAAATCTACCAAGAGGAAGGAGGCAACTGCAGTAGTTCAGAATGAAAAATGGAGGCCTGCACCAGCCAGTGACAACGGCCTGAAAAGGAGGAAACAGAAGCAAGCATGTAAAAAGCATCGTCCTCTAGGATTACTCACTGACTGCAAAAGGGAAAGAGATTTGGTGTCATTAACCAAGACAAAGAAAACAAAAGAGCTGGTTCAGGCAGGGAAGAGGAGGGCAATTAGTGAGGTCAAGTGCCTCAGCACATCTCAATTAACAAACAGGCACTTGGACTAAAGACACCTTAAGAGGCACCAAGGCTAGAAAATGGAGAGCTGGGAAAACACTGTGCAAGTAGGTAGCTGAGGCAAAGGGTTTGGATGAGTTTACCTACTCCATTCATTGCCAAATTAATTTTTAAGTCTATATACACATGTGCACTTCTTCTTGGTTGGGGAGGTATTGTGAGGCACTCAGCTTTCAGATTCTCAACAGGGTCCAGAACAATTAATAAATAAAAGTACAAGAATAAAAACACAACCCCTGGGATCATAACTGGCAAGTACAAGAGGAATATTCATCCTGTATTACTTTATTTTTCAAGTGTCATTTTCTATAGCTAGGACTTTATAAAAAGAAGAAATGATTATTCTGGAAAGGGGAAAAAGGCACAGTAGGTTAAGGTTTTACTGTAGGAAAACTAGTCTCTTACCAAGAACTAATCACTGCTAGATGCAATTGGCTAGCTCTATGAACACCAATAGAAAACTTCATGTAACTTACCTCATTTGTTTTTTTCTCCTTGATCTGTGTTAGTGTTCTCTTATTTGACTGAAGTTTGTCTGCATTGAAATTAATATACAAACCACCTAATTGCTTGATACTCAGACCAGGGTCTATGCTGCTGCTTGTCAACTTCAGACTGAAAGAGAAAGGACCACTTAAAGATCAAGTGCTTAAATCAAAATGAAAACAACTGAACTGTATTCCTGAAAATCACTTTTTTCTTCTCTCCTTTTACCCTCAATGATCAAAAACCCCAGAAAATTTTTACAATGGAGTTTCTCAAAAACTGTGAATAAATGTATTTTAAATTGAGTAAAGTCATTTCAAAGAAAATTCTAGGATAAGTTAACCAAAAAAGCATTTTGGGAGTACATCCAAATTTATTCCCTAGATTTTCTTAAAGAGAACAATGCTACACAATATGCCAACAGATTTCATAAAGGAATTTTACAAAGAATTACAGAAAAGAGGGGGCGATACCTCTGGCAATTCAGCTCAACTTCATATATGCATACTTCCATCTCTAAAACCAATGAGAAGGACAGGTTCTGAACTTCTAGGTTATCCAAAGTTAGAATGTTCTTCTGGGAACTCAAACTATTTGGTAATACTTCTCAATAAGTGAGTTTTAGTGAGAATCTGTATTTTCCAACAGAGCTTTTTTAAAAATATAAATGTCATAGCCCAGACTTACCAAGTCAGAATCTTCTGCAGCCGGCCCAGGCTCCTGATGTATTTATACAATGAGAATTTCTACTTTTTGTTACTGGTAAGTCCTTTTTATAATCAAGTATACTTGGACTTAAACTTTCTTCCCTAGTAATTCATATAAACTGAGCAGTTGAAAGTTTTTCCTCTATTGGAAAGTGAAATCATTCTATTGCAGTACCTTGGCAGTGATTCTCAATCCTAAGTATACATTAGAATTATCCTGGGGAGGAGTGTGGCCCTTAAAGGCCTGAGCCTAGACTCAGAGATTTCATTTGTTTAAGGACTGGGCAACTATTAATGTATAGATCCTTAGCAAGGAGGCCTTTATATGCAGTGGATACACTGTCACCAGGGCCTATGTCTAGGAAAAAAACAAATTTCAAACAGAAAAGAAACTAAACAAAACAGCCCCAAACATTAGCGCTTTTCAGTGGGGGATAAATGGGTATAGGTGGTTTTCTCAGGCCTTTCTCTATTTTTAGTTTCTCAACAATAAACACAAAGAAAAAGAACAAATTACTTTCCTTTTATGTTGCTCTTAACAATCTTGCAGGAAAATCTTAACAGATGATTTCTAATATATCACCAAAAGGAGCACTGACAGCTGTCACTGCTGGGAAGAATATGACTAACAAAGGCACTCACAGAGATGAGGGAAATACTAGCTAACAAACTCTTCCATAAAGAACTCAAGGTGGTGCTTTTCTCAATTCCCATGTTTTCTAATAATTTACATTTTATGGTCAGTTAGCCACCTGAAATGTTACAAAATCTTACTTTCAAAAACAAAGGTAAAACTTACAACTTTGACTTTGTGCTATTTAGTAAGTCATCTTCATCACTAGACTCATCTTTATTTTCATCATGGTCTGATAGTTCTTCTTCACTTTGTTCATCCTCTTCCTCCTCTTGGTTTTCTTCCTCAGTGGCAACCTCACTGGCCTTATCTCCCTCATCCAGGTAAAAATTTTTATCAGTACTCAATCCAGGAGTTGTGTCAATTACAAACAATGCATTGTCACATGACATATTTTCTGAGACGCCATTTAATGATTCCTTTTGACCACTATTTTCTACAAAACACACAGTGTCCTCTTCATTCTCACTGTTCTCAAACTGCTGGCTTTCATCACTGCTGAGAACTAATAAAACAGAATGACCTTTATCCTGAGATGTGTTGAACTCAGACTTGTATAGGTTGGTATCATACTCAAAATCCGTATCCCTTTCTTCATTCATGTCTTCAGTGCCACCTCTATCTGCGCAGTCTTCTTTACTGCCACCACTATCACCAAGTTCTGTCAAGTCACTTGTTTTTATGGTGCTCTTTCTCTCTTCATTCCATCTGTCTACTTCAATAACTGCAAATGTTTGAGTTAATGATTTCATTACAGCCTCACAGTTCAGATTTGAGGGCTCTGATGTGGTTTTGTTATTTTCGGGGGTTGAATGTCTCTGAGAAACTAACTGCTGAAGGCTGGTGTCCTGAAGTTCAGAAAGACTCTTCAGCTGCAAATTTTTCTCATTAATTTCTTTTTCCTCATCTGTTATTCCTTTAGCTTCTTCATCTAAACTTTTACAATTCTGCTGTATTTCACTGAGAGGTGTAACACTGGCTTGTTTTTCCTCTCCTATATTAAAATGTTTTTGCACTGTTGGTTGTTTTTCTGAATTTCTGTGGAGGGAATCATCATCAAAGTCATCACTATCACTACAGAAATCTGGCTGATTTATCTTAGAAAGAGATCTTGCTTGTGAATGAGAAGACATTTGTCTAGCATCTGAATCCTCTGAATTCATAGCTACATTTATGATTTGCTTTTCATTTCCTGGTACAATTTTAGTACCTTTCTCCTTCATTTGTGCTTGCAATTTCCTGTGCATACTCCTTGTTGTTCTTCTAGTTGCAATACTGGAAAATGAAATGTCTGAGCATGATGACTCAGCATCAGAATCAGCTTCTACATGTGATTCTTGGTTTGGATCTTTTAGGGATTTAGCCTGCCTTCTTATGGTTCTTGTAGTTATTACTGTAGGAAGCACAATTCTAGAAATACCTAAAACATGTGACTCAGCTTCAGAGACTTCTTCTTCAGTATGAGACTCTTTTAATGGGGTTATTTTCAGCCTCTTCCTAACAGTGGACACTGGGGTGCATGCAACTAAGATCTGCCGTCTTCTAGTTATTCTTAAAATGGGTTCCTGGAGCCTGGACACAGAACAATTTGATTCTGCTTCAGAGATCTCTCCATCAGTAGATGGTTTGTTCATTTCTGGTAATAAGCCTGTAGCTGTGCTCTTCCTTTTTCTGGTCTTAGGAGTTCTAGGCAATGGACTTTGTTTCCTAGTGGTTCCTGATTCAGCAGTATTTGGCTCAACAGATGGAGTTTCCTTCCTGCCTTTTGAATGTGCTTGAATTCTTTTAGAATTCTGTAAGACACAAAATAAAAACAAAAAAAACCCAAAAAATACACACTGTAATTAAGTAAGAATGGGATAAGAACAGAGTGAGTTGAGGCACTCCCTCAGAAGCAAATTTTAAAAGGGCACTAAAAAATTCAGGAAAACAAGATTAATACAAAAATATCAGCCAACACCATTGCAGCCGCCACCCATGATAAAACACACAAAACTTAATTACTGGATGTGACCCAGCATTTGCAGAACCCTGCTTCACAAGAACCACCGCCTATGATTAAAAAATAAAATAAACTTACACACTGGATCTGACCCTGAATTTGCTGGGCTTTGCCTCAGTCGCCTTACCCAAGATCTGTATTTGATTTTAGGGAGAAAATTTTCTCCACTCAAATATGCTAGGTGGACCTACATTCCGACACACGTAAAGGAGAAGAGGGTAGAAGGGAAGTATTAACTCTGAGCAAAGATGTGTTTAGAAACACACCTACAACGATGGTACCCTTACCTTTACATACATACACGAATTAACGCTCCGTTCTCTTCATCGCTGTTAGAGGCAGCGGGCAGTCGGCTAGCGAGCGCAACTGAGGGCCACCGAGTGGCGTCACCGTAGCTCCTCCCCCGCCAAAAGGAGCTAATGTGAGGCCACGGCAAACCTTCCCACGTGAAAACGGTGCCCTTCACTCCAATTCCACTAAATTTGGCTGACGCTTGGTAATCCTCCTTACTACGGTGTTGACTCTAGGGCTAAAAGGCCTGAGCTATGTATCTGTATTACGGAGCTGAACTACCCAAGGCCAGTTACCTAACTTCTCTGTTCCAAGTCAAAGAGTGTCTTAAAAGGCTGTAGTGAGGACTTAAGACGAAGCTAGACTTGGCTCGGGGCCTGGTACGCGTCAGTGCGCAGCAAGCTCGGGCCCCTCTCCGCCGCTGGCCTGCACGTTCCATGCAACCCTCGAGGGAGCCACCCCCACTTTCCTAAGCACATCTCCACGAGGCAGCGGGCAGAAAAGAGGGGGCCGTGCGATCTCCTACCTCCTGCTGGGAATTTTCAGGCGACGTGGCTCGGGTGCTGGCCGGAGGCCGCGCAGACCTGGTAACCACCATCTTCCCAGTTTCGAGGTACCACGGCCTGCCTGTTTCGGCGCCACGGAAGTGCGTCAGAGAAGTGCTTTGCTCGCGTTTTCCGCGAGGATCCTGGGTATCGCGAGAATCTCGTAGTTGCCTCCCGCCTGCCGACCCAAGCCGAGTCGTTGGGCCCTCGGATGCCCTAGGGCAGGTGTTCTGGAATTCACTCCAGTGCCGTTGAACACATACCAGCCTTTTGCAGATCTTCGCGAAGCGGCGAAACCCAGTTACTGAAGGCCCTCGTCTCCGTTTCACACGAACGAATTGGAAAATTGCATCTTCTGCTTGACACTATCCATCCTCTGACCTGTTCGGCAATTCTAAAGGTCTTAATGTAGCCATGGGTGTGGCCAAAGGAAATGTTCGCATTACTTAATAATATATTTTTTTAAAAATGTATATATATGTATATATTCTTGTTATTATTACGTTAAGTATAAATAAAATTTAAAGACTTGATTGAGGGTAAAAATGTGTTACGTTAAATACCCCAGGAACTCGGAGAGGAAGAAGCTATGTAATCTTAAAGTGAGATGATAACTAGAGATCTGGAATAAACAGAAAAGAGAAAATGTTAAATTGTAACAGTGCACGATGAAACTTCGCAGCGAAAGGAAGGGAATGACCAGAATCAAGAGAAGCCATTTAGTTTTCGGATGAAGGGAGGAGGGCTAGAATATATTTGAGGGAAATGGAAAGGGATTGAAGTAAATGGATATTATTGGAGATGAGAAAGGATTAGTGACTCACCAAATCTATTCTCTACTTTTTTTAGTAACAGAAAACCAATTTTTTTCTTAATGTCACAAGACATAGATTTTTCATGGGGCACACTACTACCAACTAAATAGCTCCTTTCAGAGTTAACCTTGCAGCCAGATGTTGCCAACTAAACTTTGTCCCATTACATATAAATTGTGTAGCTCTTTAGGGACATCTTAAAAGAGAGGAGGGCCCCCCTACCTTCTTTAACTTCATTTTACTCCCTGGAAAGTTGTGTTTTTTGGTTTTCAAGCAGCACTTTGGTGCCATGAGGATGAGGGAACACTGGAGGGGTAGCAAAGCCATAAGAAAAAAAAAACATGGGCCTCTGATAACTGGTGGAGCTGCCATATCCGTCCTAAACAGCCTACTAATACTTCTGTGTCACCTGAGAGAAACACCTGTCTTTCTGTAAGCCACTGATAATTGGGGATTTTCTCTTATTTGCAGTTGAGCCCACTCCCAACTGAAGAATGGATTAAAAAATCAAGATGGAGGGGTTAGTTGCAGAATGCTTCCTCCTTTGAGGCAGGAGTGAGTTGATAATTGAAGTAAAGAGAATGTGAATGCAGGGAAATTAGGGTGGAGACCAGAAAAGGAGAGGATATTGGATGGATAATGTCAATCTTCTCTGTAAGTAGATTAATCTGCTTTTAAGAATGGAAAAGGCTTAGACTGACTCTTCTGGGTAATGTGTTAAGGAACAAAAAAGGAATTTCAGTAGGGCCAAGTAGCAGTGAGACTAAGTGGAAGAGAAACAGGCTAGATTTGAAGGGGGCAGAATGGTGCAGAGGAAGGAAAGCAAGCCTATTGGAGGTAGGTAATGGAGACCAAAGCAACAATGCACAATGAATCACAACAATAGGGCTGAGTACCAAGTACTTACTTGGTACATGCTGGGTACTAAGTACTTCACGTGTATTAACTAATCTCTACAACAACTTAATATGAGTAAATGCATGAAAATAGAAATTAAGATCACAGAGGTGGGTATGGAAAAGTACAGAAAATGGGAGAGCCTTAGATGTGTAATATCACTTGCAAGCAGGTCCCTTTAAAAGTTTCCCCAAAAAGATAAAGAAACAAGTATTAAAAAACCCATAAAAATGTCAGTACATATTCATAATCTGAGAAGCCTGAGTTGGTCTACTATCAATAGGCCTGCTGACCATATGCAAAGTTGCAGTGTTCTGTTTTTTGTTTTATTTCTGCCTTGTTTCTCTATTCCTACTTTGTTTGCCTACTCTAACCAAAGTGGATTTGGGGCAAATACATTAAACCCAATTTTAGATAAATACAATATAAAGGTACAATAGTTATTACTCAGATCCAAAGGGAATTTCCTGTGATAGCTTGAATTTTACTACTCAAACCCTTAAAACAAAGCGTTGAATTTCTCTAGAATGTCAAGCATTTTACAAAAGATGAGTGTTAGTTACATGAGCCTTCTAAAAATAGATACTATTCACAGTCATTCTGCATTACCACATACAAGACAACTTTTAAGTTGTTTGCCCTGTCAGATGACCCCCAATGATCCCATCTCCCAGTTTCAAACCCTTGGATGTCAGCTGGACCTAGTGACTTACAGTGTAAAAGAATAACAAAAGTGATGGTGTGTCTTTCAAGATGAAGTTACAAAAGTGGCTGGCTTCCCTCTTGTGGTCTCTCATTTGTTCATTCTGTGGAAAGCTAGCTGTACCTTAGGAGCTGCCCTATGGAGGGCCACGTGGCAAGGAATGCAGGGAGGCCTCTGGCCTATAGCCCATGAAGAACTCAGTCCAGCCAACCACATGGGTGAGCTGAGAACAGACCAACTTCAAGCAAGCATATAGGTGAGAGTAATCTCAGCTGACACTTCGATTACAACCTTTTGAGAGACCTTGAGGTACCCAAACACAGCAATTGACAGTCACTAAGGAATAATTTCATCTGTTCTAAAGTTCCATGCAAAGGGAGTAGTGCAATATGTAGTCTTGCATGTCTAGCTTTCACTCAGTAGAGTGTTCCTGAGATTTAACTGTATTACTGTGTATACTGTAGTTTTCTTTTGTATTCCTGAGTAGTATTCCATTGTATAATACAATTCATGTATTCAATTACTGATAGCATTTGGGTGGTTTCAGCTATTATGACTGAAGTGCAATAAACATTTATATGTTCTTTTTGGGTATGTTTTTCTCTTGAGTAGAATTGCTGGGTCCTCTGGCAAGTGTACATTTCATTTGGTAAGAAATACCAAGGTATTTACAGTGGTCATACCATTTTACACTCCCACCAGCAACATATGAGGGTCTCGCTTGTTCCACATCCTCACCAAGCTTGTTATTGTCAATCTTTTAAAATTTTAGCTATTTTTGTAGTGATTCATTGTGGTTTTTAAATTGCATTTCCCTGATGACTAATGATGTCCAGTATCTTTTCATGTTATTGACTATTCATATTTTTGAAGAAAACTGTTCTAACCTTTTGCCTATTTTTTATTCGGTTTTATTATTAGGTTTTAAGAGTTCATTACAGATTTTGGATATAACTCTTAATGAACATATATTTGCAAATATTTTCTCCCATTCTGTGGATTGTCATTTTCATTTTCTTGATGGTCCTTTGAAGTGCAATTGATTATGTCCAATTTATTTTTCATCAGAAATATGTATTGGATTCTTCCTAGTCTGTGGCTTGCATTTTAATTTTAACAGTGTCTTTTGAAGAACAGATGATTTAAATTTTTATTAAGTCCATTTATCAATATTCTGTCAAGTTTTTTGTTATCAGAAAGCTTTGCAACAAGTTTTAATTTTCCTGTGATATTTTAATCCCATATACATCAAAATAAGTTGAAATTTTCAAGTAAAAATAAAGTGACCAGAGAAAAAGCCATTACTTGTAGGGACAGAAATCCAGATTTTCATCAGTAAGAATATATATGCTGGAAGTCAATGGAATTTTGTCTTCAGATTGCTGACGGAAAGTATTTGGAAACTTAGAATTCTAGTCAAATGATCATTTAAGATACAGAATAAAATAAGCACATTTTTCAGTCAAAAAGGAGCTAAAACATTTACTGCCCAGAAACCTTCAGTGAAAGAATTACTAAGGACATGCTTAAGCAAGAAAGAAGTGAAGTTAATGAAGTAGGATACAAGAACCAATAGTGAGCAAAGAAATGGGGAAAATAGAGCTGAGTCAAAATAAGAAATTTGTATTATAAAACAGGAGCCTTCTTAAAATAATGAACCAACAGACACACAAGAATCTTGTATATTTCATAATTTATTCATCGCTGAGATACATATTAAAGTTTTGTTTAACTTTTCTGGTAGTGAAACTTCATACAGCTACACTCTGGTATACTTGGGGTATTTGGACAAATTTTAGTCTTTTATAAAACAACTCTTGTTTGAAGAGAAGCCATTCCTTTCTGATAAGAAACAAGTTCTTGAAGAAAGTGTTTTCACTGAATTTCTAAAGTTTACATATAAACTGTTCATCATTTAATAAAAGCATTATTTACAAACCAGGCAAACACGAGCCTCTGCCCAGAATGCCCACCCACACCTTATCCTCTGATCCTAATCTAAGGCTAATTTATTAAGGGGAGCCTCTGTGAAATAGATACTGCCAACTCCACTTCCATATGCCCCCATTCCCTTTCACCATTTCTATCATTAACAGATGTAGCCTTTTATTGCTGTTGTTCATGTACAGATCTCTCTCCCCCGACAAATATACTATATGCTCCTTGAAGATTGGGACTGTTTTTCTCATTCCTGTGTCTATCTGCCAACACCCTGCACAGTGCCTGCACATAGTAGGCAGTTGATAAATCTTTGTTGAATGAGTGCATGAATGAATAGCTTTATGGCTTGTACATTTAAAAATTACTCATAATTTATTTTCAAATCATACTAGTTTGGATTCAAATAGTTCAAAATCAATATAATGTTCCAGGATACTTCCAACTATTGAAACTATTAAATTAAAAAATATATAACTCACACTTTATTTTAATTAGGCAATTCATAATATAATATAGGTAAAATTAAAAACTGTTATATTTAATAATGCTTTATATTTTGCCTGTATATTTTATAGTACACCATAAAATTAAAATTATCTAATTAAAATATTTTCCCCTCCAAAGTTTATTTCTAATTCTGAAAACTAAAAAGTATTAATGAAAATTATGTTATATATTTTTAAACAGTAAAATGGACATACCTCATCATCAACTTTGTGGGAAAATGACAGGTACAAGTTCTGGTATGTTAGGAAGTTTAAGAAAATAGGT